CCCCCCCCCCCCCCCCCCCACACACACACAAAACCTTGATATAATTTTATGAAACTGGCTTTTGTTTAAAGAGTTTTATTGGACTTAGTAAGTTTGTTTTAAGAACGTGTTGGAAGGAAAGGAAAAACATCTGCCTTCTCATGTTACATCAGCCCATGGGGGTCTGTAATTTACATTTTTTGCAGCTCAAACATTCAAGAATAATGGAATGGCAGCCCAAGAAATGCTAAAAAAAAATCACATTAAATAAAAGCTAAAAATATATATAAACATAAACCAGATCTCTAAGGCTGAAGTGAAGTATTTCAAATTAACTGGCCAGTTGATTAATGAAGCCAGAAAGAAAAACTCCAGATCAAGTTAGGACTTGCATATATATTTTTCCATAGAGTTCAGGTAACTGAAATGTTTTGTTGTGAATGTCTTTTTTTCTCCCTTATCAATAGTCACATTCAAAACTATATCTTCCTTTTTCAGCATTTAAATAATTTAAAGTTGATTTATTTTCCCACCATACAAGTGTTCAGACATTACAAAAGTTTTTTATTTTTGGTGAGTATTTTGCTATATAAGTATATATCATACAGGGGTCTGTCTGCCATCAAGACCAGTGTAGTAATAAAAAACATTGTCTTAAAAGCACATAAAGAAGGCAATCCAAATATCTATAACATGAATCTTACTAAAAGAAATACTGATGAAGAATGTAAATTTAACCTCTTTGTCAACATACATTCTGTGACCATGACTGTGTTAGCTGGCTTAAGATACCTACCTTATGAAAGCTCATAAAAGCATGCATTTCCAATGATCTTGTTAAGGATGTATGTTTAGGTACATGTGTGTTGGGAAACTATATTTCTACATGCAGAGACAGAAATTGAGGAGCTAGGCAAAAAATGGCTAATTCTAAGTCTTTCTGTCAGTATGTGTGTGTGTGTTGAGACACAGTTAAGGGTGAAAGGGAATAAGTGGGAGGAACAACTCTCTGTCACAGAGAAAAGGAAGCCTGAATGGAGAGACGTATCCCTAATGGTTGTGAGTATGGGAGGGGCTCAGAGCGGGGAGTACTTGTAAGACCAGGTGCTTCATGCTATGCACCAAAGATTCTACAGAAAACATGCAATCTAAATAAAGGTTTGTGACATGTAAAAGTGATTCATTTCTCATATTTTTAGCACAGTAGCACCCAAATCCCCAATAAGTAACAGGAGTCTCATTGTACTAGGTACAACACAAACACACATGACCATATCACACTTGTCTAAAGTCCTTAAAGTAGAGAAGACAAGGAACATAGGAAGCATAGGACTCCTGTGAAGGAGTCCTGTGCTTCCTATGTTCCTTGTCTTACCTTCTGGTAAAGTCATAATTTCCTTACCATTGACTATTAGTCTTGGACGGGGGGACTACCGCCACTGCTGGCCCTCTAAGCAACTCTTGCAGAGCCAGCAGGCCAAGGTACTTAAAGGAGCCCACCCCTGCCCCAGCCCTGGTACAATCTGTGGGCAAAGCAAGAGCCCCCAAGGGGACACTTGCCTGCCTGTACACAAATGCCAGGAGCTTGGGAAATAAGCAGGTTGAACTTGTCCTCCTGCTTAACACAAATAATTACAATGTCATAGGGATAACGGAGACCTGGTGGGACTCCACCCATGACTGGACCACGGGTATAGATGGCTATACCTTGTACAGAAGAAATTGAGTAGATAAAAGGGGCGGGGGTGTAGCTCTCTATGTTAAGGAAAGCTACATGTCCCTGCAAGCTGATGTTGGCAACCAGGGTAGACAACTGGAGACCCTCTGGGTTAAAATCCATGGGGAACACGGCACAGGGGACACAAGGGTGGGAGTCTACTACAGACCTCCCAAACAAAGTCAAGAGCTTGACCAGGAGTTTGCCCGGGAACTGGCTGAGGCCACATTCTCCAGGACCACAGTTATCATGGGTGACTTTAACTATCCAGACATCTCGTGGGAGGATCACTCAGCAAAATCCAAATGGTTGCAAAGCTTCCTATCATGCGTGGATGACCTCTACCTGACTCAAGAAGTCTATGGGCCAACAAGAGGTAAAGCACTGCTCGACCTGGTACTGGCTAATGGGGATGACCTAATTGGTGACCTAGTGATTGATGGGAAGCTGGGTGACAGTGACCATGAGCTGAT